ATGTTGTTGAGCCATGTCAGCGGAATTGTGTTATTGACTGAAAGAGACTTCAAATTTAAGCCAGCTGGTCAGTGAAAGATCATGAATGTATATTCGAGAGATAGAGGTACAGGCAGCCATTTTAACCAATAAAGTAGCCTAAGACCCACCAGTTCTACCGAGATAGATGATGTTGACGGGAGCCATCACATGACACCCACGCAAGCCAGACTAGGTAGCCAGTATAAAGGCATTGACGAAGAGCCTGGCATAATTACGGCCTCAAAGAAGACTCCGATGCGCGAAACAGCTGCCTGCCCATGCTCTCCCGAAAAGTTGCCAATTTTTCTTGGCTGTAAACCGGGCTGTTCGCGATTCCCACCAGGACAAGCTCGCGAGCCTACTCGAAATTGTAGTAGAATGCTCCCCTCCAAACTGTCTCCATGCTTCGTTGATGTTCCTCAACAAGTCGCTCTCTCAATTGACACGCCTCATTCTTCCCAATTGGCCATGCGCCAACGTCCCTGAGGATTTTATTCACAATCTCCTGAGGGATACCATTTCGCGCCCAGTCGATCTTTCCCACACCAGCCGCTGCCCACCAATCATGTTGTTGTGGCGGGACGTTTCGCGTAGAGAGTATCCTGTAATTGGGGTCGACGAGATGTATCGCTAGCACGCGGCGGCGCCCTGGCTTCCTCTTGTCCCAGAGACGATACGAGCTGAATTTGTGCTGGAAGACATTGGGGAAAACCACAAGCCTACCGTCGGGTACTATGACTGTGCCTAGTGTCTGGAAGGCTTTGGAATCTCCGAATCCCCCTTGCAGATCTTCAGGTCGATGGATGTCATAAATCCCGGCTATGTCATTGTACCGTCCGGGTTCGTATACATGAGCTAGCGGATCAAGGTCCGCTTCAACACGGAAAGTCAGAGTCCCTGAGCTTGGGGTCGTGTTGACGCTGTCAAAATGGAGAATGCTGGTTGCTACAATATGTTCATTCAACGTCCCGTTCAGTTGCCATTTTGTTTCAAGTCTAAGTGTTGGTCAACAACATGAGGTAGCAAATGTACCTTGTGCGAGCACTCACACTTGAGGTTGGTCTGGTGTTAGCTCAATCGAACGCATCTCAATCACCACCTGCAGGCCGTCGTCTCGAAACATTTCCTGCAAGAAAATGTCGTAAGAGTCATGCTGTTTGAACTCGTAGCTCTCCTTATTAGCAACGCCTGTTCGTAGGGCTGGAACAAGAGCCTGCTTAACCTTGGCTCTTTTCCAGTCCTCGTAGGTGTATGACAGACCTGGTTCGGGGTGCAGCCAGTGCGCAACTGCTTGTGCTTTAATTCCACTGTTTTTGTAAGGCCGAATCGTGTTTCCCAATCTGTTCCCACATGTGGAAATAGATTGACGCGTCCTTGATGCTCTGGTTTTGGCAATCCCGGCTGTGATATGTATTCTTGCACGAGCTTTCGTGCTTCTTGATATCTCGTACTTTCCGGCTCTTTCTCGATGCTTTCTAGATCCCTGGCCCATTCCGGTAGAGGCGGCCACCAGACTGCTCCAAATGTCTTGATTCGAGGTGGCATCCGCCCACGACCGCGCCAAACAAGGACGTCATTCCACGGGGCAATCGAAAGTGACACCAATTTCTCAATCGTCTGATATAAAGATTTGTGGAAAACAGGATGCACGTTGTTAATGTACGAAGTGATCTTAACTCCATTACCAGTAGAGGTCGGCTCTCCGGTGAAGTCAACCTCACACGGAAGCCACTGGAAATGCTCAGAGAAACGTTGTGGTCGATCTCTCCAGTAACTCTCCCACATTCGCTCATGTCTCCTAATATGATCAAGGCTTTTCGTGAACTCAGAGGACTCAATGAACTGGGGCCGAACGGTCCAGCCTTGGCCTATGGCGTCCGTAGCATTCTCAAGGCCAACCTCGATACCATCATACAACGCATTGGTCCGCCCGTGAACGAAAGGGTAGAGCGATGGGTCGATAGGCCAGATAACGGGTTGACCTGGGTACCATTGACAGCTGGAGATAAGCGAGCCGAGTCGGTCTCGTAGCTGTTCCAGTAGTGCCGACGGAACAAGTGAATCCGATTTGCAGACCCGTGCCGCCGAATCAAATATGAAGGTGTATCCAGATGTTTGTTGCACGCCGGCTTTGTCTCGAAGCTCTTCTACACACCAATCCCAAGAGAGAGGCGATAGTACCGGCCGGCCAAGGACAATTTTTGGGTACGAAAGAACTTCTTGGCGCCAATGGCTAACCGTTGCGTCGTCGAATATGTCCAAATGCCAACCTCGTCGATCTGTCAGTTCATTCATAAGGCCTAACATGGCTATCTCGCGTCCTGTGAGTCTATCTTGAGCCCAGTCGCTTGAGCCGTGAGCAAATCGCTCATCAGGGCTTCGCTCAACTGTGATGGGGTATGGAAACCCGGGCACTCTTAGGGGTCCGCCACGGTTGTTGAAAATCAGACCTGCCTCCCCACTCCCAAATTCCCTGTAGTGACTGTCATTTGAGCGAATTGCTGCAGCTGACATCTAGTTGACTAGGTCACGCTGCAACAGAGGCGGCAGTTATCGTGCTTGACTCTAGGGATTCGCATAGCAGCGCCGCATCTGGGATGAGCGGATTCTTATTGACGGCTTAGGCCCAAACTTGTGGCGTGAGGATGGAAGTGGGCAAGAATATGGCAGTGGAGGTGTCAGTTATCACCCAACCAATTGCAGTCCGGTATGCAACTCCCACGTTGCACTGTTCCTGCCTGCCCTGGGCTGTGGGTGAGCTGTGACCGGCACCTTATAAAAGATTTCGCTTAAGAGGAAAACCCCAAAAGTTTCGTCGGCAAGATGAGTCTCCTCTCCTCGTTCTGAATCTCGGAGAGCTCTAAGTTGAACGTTGCGTTTAACGATGCGGGATGTGGTGGGTATATTATCAGCTGCCAACTTGTATCGTGCAGCTTGAAAATCTTTACATGACGCATCCTAGACGTTGCAGAGCCCAATTTTGCGGATGCCAGAGTTCTCCAGACAGAAATTGCAGTATCGTCGTGAGACGTTTTAAAGGATGGGTTCATTGCAGCGAGAAGATCTTGCCACACGGTATTTGCTTGATGTCTGACAAGATAGGACCAACTGAGCTGGCCCTCAACGGAAATAATAATCGCAAAGTCAACAGTTTTTTGAGTACTAGGAATATCATAACGCACGTGTAGATATAAGGTGACCGGAAACTCGAGCCCGTCAATAAATTGTCCTTTGCTAGAATCCCAGAAGGCATCTGGCCCAGCTGACATGACATGATAAGGACCGCGTGGGTGAAGCAAAGATCGCTCGATACCAAATCTTCGCATGATTTGGCTAGGGTTGGTAATTTTGTTATTAGCATGGAAAGTCTTTTGGATGTATATGCGAGCGCTCTTCGTACTGGCCTCACCACTGTTCAGATTATTAGAGTAGTAGAATCTATCTGGCTGCCTTCGTAGATATCCAGAAGTACTTAAAGTCAGATAGATTCCAAGCCAGTCACCTGATTCGGAAGTTTGAGCATTGCCATCATAACATTCTAGAGGCAAGACAAAGTCATTTGTCTCGGTGATTGTCAGGACTGGCTCCATGGAAATACCCTTATTGGTGATGGTGTACTCTCGATCTAACCGCGCTGTTTGCCGAACAGGCTTGATTTTCCCACACCCGGCGAAATCGCGTGGGCTCACAGCAAAGATGCCGCTGTAAGCCGAAAGACTTTGTGAGTTCTCACCGAATCTCCAAGCGAAGAGAGACAAGTCGTTGGTTTCTTTTGCGATCTCCTCTTGGAGGCGGAGAAAGGCTTTCGTGCCCTCACCATACAACAGAGGCATTGTTATATCGAAAAGCCCGAGAAGGCAATAAGCAAGATCTTCAGGCCGAGTTGTTTGCCTATTTGCGGACCAAGCCATCTTCCTCGCAACCGGGGTTTGCCATAGCTGCCCTGCAGATTCGAGAACTTGGGTCTCTATTCCGGTGATTTTTGAGAGAATCTCAAGGTTCTCGTTCTTGGAGCCCCTTCTTTGCCAAGTCTGATCGATGAAGTTTACCTCGAGTGGGGCAATCAGTTCTTGAAGTGTCCACCCGCGTGTAAACCACCGACATTCGCCAACAAGCTCATTGAGTGCACAATTCGTCGCGGGAGAAGCAGTGTCAGATTGAGCGGGTGGCAGATCTGACAGGTACACGAAGCAGATAGAAGAGTCACGATACCATTTGAACATGGAATTTATCGCCTCTGAAAGCTCAACATTGTTGGTCTTGTCGATGCAGCATGTGTCAATCCAAGCATATTCAAGTCCCATCTGCCGTGCAAGTTCACAGGTTTTATCGATCTTTTCGAAGCCTTTTCTATGGCGAGCTGAGTCTATGTTCTGGATCTGTTGAAAAGAAACCTCTTCTTCCTCCCAGGTGTGTGATAAAATGCCATATCGATAACCTTTCGAGCCAGGCACTAGTTGCAGCTGCAAAGTATCTGTCTTGATAAGCCACATGGCTTAAAATGTTGTAGAGATGGATGTTTTAGTGTCGGATTAAGGATTACTGACACTTCGCAATTTTATGGAGCTGAGTTGCGACCAGGTAGCCGACCAGCATGACTAGCTATTATAACCTGACATATTCGATATTGTCCAATTCACAGCCCGGCTGTCGTCTTGCGCAGTGGTTATCTTTTAGATGCAATCAATCAATTTTCAAAGCGGGTGTAGCTGGGGCTATACGAAGAAGGTGATCCCTAGTTCGTATGTAAAAAAAAGGTGCGGGTACTGAAGAAAGGCGGCAGAAGCACTGACAATTACGGTCGGCCTTGGCTTTACCTGCTTTCATAGCTTTAATTCGATAGAGCCAGCAAGTAGGGCAGACTTCGCAATATGTTAGATTCAGCTTAATATATGATCATTGTCGCACAGCCCTATACGACATAGTACTTCGATAAGAACAGGAAGGACGCACCAATCCAATTGCTTCCAAATTGCTCGATGACACAAGAGCTTCTGTACCCGGCCAAATCAGCCGCCCAAGATGCCAATGCGCGCCATTATTTGATCTACTTCATCACCGGCAATCCCGGTCTCATCGACTACTATGAGCCGTTTCTGTCACACCTTCGCAGCCTGCTCGATGAGACTGAGAAGCGATCCTCGGCAGCTCTTCACATCTACGGTCGTAACCTAGCCGGCTTCGACGATGCCGACCACGAGCCATTCACCGCCTCCAGTCCCCCGCACGACGTGGACTACCAGGTCAAAAGTCGCTATGAGCACCTCTCATCCATGCGCATCCCATCCGGCCCACGGCAAGGCCAGCCTTTCGACGAGGTCATCGTGATGGGTCATTCAGTCGGCACCTACATAACTTTAGAGCTCTTCCACCGACACCTGCGAGATCCATCGGCTGCGCCGCATCTCAATCTCAAGGTAGGCATCTTGCTATTCGCGACGATCTCCCACATCGCGAAGTCTCCATCCGGCATCTTCGTCTCAAACCTGCTGCGCGTGCCGTTCCTCGAAGCACACGCACACCAGCTCGCCAAGGGCTTCCTGTCGCTCTGGCCGGTTTGGGCGCTCACTCTCTTCATCCGGCGCGTCATGGGCTTCCCCCCACACGCAGTGGCCGCCACAGTGCGATTCCTCACCAGTCGTGACGGCGTGTGGCAGGGGATTCACATGGGCAAAGACGAGATGAACGTGATCAGTGAGGACAGGTGGGCTGATGAGCTGTGGGAGGTCGCGGACGAGGCGCTGGCGCACAAGAGCGAGATGCCCAAGTTCTTCTTCTTCTTCGCGAAGCAGGATCACTGGGTTGCGAACGAGTGCCGCGACGAATTCATTCAGAAGAGAGAGGAGCATGCGAATAGAGATGCCCCGGCGACCAAGAGAGGCCGCACGAGAATCGTAGTGGATGAGGGCGATCTCCCACATGACTTCTGCATACGTGAGTTCCATTTCTAAGGGGTATACTGCAGAGAGGCTAACGTCTACCAGACCATAGCGAGACTGTTGCTGAGAAAGTCAAAGTCTGGATTGATGAGATAGTATCACATCCATGACTTACTCTTTGCCGTTCGAAAGATATCCAGCATCGGAGACGGACGCGCTCAACATCGGCGATTCGGCAAATGATCCATTAACTTCTAGGGCTGTATTATGAGATCAGATGTGATCTTCAATGCGTCTCAAGCAAAACGCAGACACAAGTTTACGATACTAGAGGAGGGTATATAGACGACTGTATAAGTCCAAGGCTTGACGCGATGAGATGAGCTACGAAAGCCTCATAGTCTAGTCGACTTCCAAGCCAGACTCGGTGGATGTTTGGATGTTAAGTGATCATGTAACATGGTAGATAAAATGAAGAGCTTACGATATGTAGCTTACGATATGTACTTATCTCAAATTAGTACGGCCCCGGCCCGAATCGTTATATAAGCTGAGAAGATGCATAATGATGACCAAGTACATGCCAGCCAGTAAATACGGCAGTTTGTATCGAATTAGGAAAAGTGTGTTTCTGTAGATGAAATGCCTACATGTGGCTACAGCAAACAGCCGGGTGTCAGTACCTCAAACGCTTTTATGCCGACCGCGATCAGTATGCTTCGTCCAGGCGTGTTTATATTTATGGGTCCAACTCCTCCCAGCAAGATGATCATACCGGTCACTTCATAGACCTCCTGGATTCTCAGGGCTGTTTGATAGTTCAAAACCTGTGTAGCAAGCGTTAGTGTGTACGCGCTGAGGTCGACTAACCTCAATAACTCCAGCGTGGTGCCTTCCAAATGTCTGGTTTGATTTGACGTGAACGATTCACGGTCATGAGATCCTCGAAGCCCCAAGATCCTGATCCGTTGAAGTATTTAGTAGCATCGTGTAACCGTCGTCGAGGCCATCAAGGCACTTGCCTCTTCAATACTTTGCTCGTCCCCTGATGATCCAATGGTCCAGCCGTTTCCGAGAAGCATAGCAAGAGAAGAAGAAGGGTGGGAAAAGTCAGGCTGGTCCTGAGGTCAAGCCAGAGAGAGAGCCGCATCATAAAACAGGAAAGTATACGAAGCAAGGCGCACATGTTCCACCTCTTGAACATACCTGACATGCGGGAACACATGCCGGCAAGTACCTATTCCCTGCTGAGAAGGAGTAGTAGCTAGTTTCCTTGTATGGGATTGATTAGATGGGGATGGGAAGGATATTGTTTGAGAGGATTTGAGCATGAGAAGGTGTCACGATGAAATGCAGTCAGGTAAATGGCATTGGGGTATCCTCAGAAGAGAAAGGAGCCACGGCATACCGCCACTGACAAATGCTTCCTTCCTGTTAGGTGGGCTCATCCGTCGACTCGGTCTCGCCCAATGAGAATACTGGCCTGTCTCCCCGACATAAGAGTCTGGTTTGTTCATCGCCAGCCATTTCATTTTCCCAAACAATTTCCAAAGATACGATCCGTCGAGCGATCCGGCACAGCGTTTCCTTAGCCTCGCAATGAGCCCACCATGTAGACGATGATTGTTTCATCTCCGATCGCCTGTGCAACAAATGCAAGAAACAAAAACCAAATTGTTCGTGTATTCGAATGCCTCGTCGTCATTCACAACAAATTTTCGCCATGTCTTCTGGGTATAACCTCCTACCGTCCCCGATAAAAAGACTAACCGCTCTCTTTTACAGCCCATTGCTCTTACATGTGAACACAGCACCCACGGCTCCAGCCTCGAAGTCGTTGATAATGCTCTGTACACTAGCATATGTACCAACGCTAAGGAAGAATACACCAATGGCGATGATGAAGATGTTCATAGCTGCCATCGCATAGCCATAAGCGGTGCGCTCCTTGACAAGAGAAATGGTACCATCGGCTTTTCTCATTCTGAAGTAGGCGACACCCCAGAAGATGAAGCCGAAGAAGCTGTCGAAGAGAGAAGACATAAGGGACAAGACTGAGATACTATTAGAGGGGGGTGCGCATGATTCAGTGGATGAATAATTGAACTCACGATCTGAGAAGAAAGGGATAACCTCGGCGATAATGAAAGCAAGGATCCATGTAGCAACTAGCCCACTATTAGCCAACGCCCCAAGAAGCCTCGATTGTCATATGAACTCACGAAGGATCAGAGCCCAAGTACCCCAGCCAACCACGGTGTGATCGTTCTTGTGGTGGGAGTTCTGGAAGATGCGGAAGAAGACGAAGCGAGCCGAAACCGATGCATACAGCACACCCAAGAAGATGAGGGTGGGGATCATGAATGAGAAAGCCACCTTTTTGTAAAGGGGGTCAAGCGAGCCAAACGCAGGCGCAGTCATGTACTGGTTACCGACATAAGCGTAGACAACAGCACCAACGACGCTGAAGACGAGGATCTCGAGGATCGTGCAAGCCCACAAAGCCTTGGGGAAATCGCTATGAACTTGTAAGCATATATGCAATCAATACAAAAAAATTTCAATTGGACATACCGAGGCTCCTTCATTTCGGCGATGAAGCTGGGGAGAGTGATCTGTCCAATGAACGTATAGCTAATGTTCAGGAAAGCACTCAATGCGGCCACGAAGGTAGTGCCAGCGACCGGAAGGGCCGTGACGATTGGGTTTCCTCCAACTGCCTCCGTGCCGTCTTCGGTGGTGTACGATGGGCGCGGATCGTAGCCTGCAGGATGATCCTGAACTCCGGCGAAGACTGTGGCGAGCAGGACCGAGACAAAGGTGAAGAAGGCAGACAGAGTTCCAAGCTTCGCCAGCATGTTGAAAGTTCGAGGCAAGGAGCACAGCCAGCACAGAATGAACATGATGACGGAGAAGCTGACGGTGCGGCAAGCAATGCCATCGTCCGATGCTGTCATAGTGTTGAGGTACTTAGCTCCAACAAGCACGTGAAGACCCTGGATGAAGGTGTTGTTCAGAATGAACATGATGGCAGTGAACCACCAGGCCCACTTCTTATTCCAGAACAGCATCTGACCAATGTCACAGACATCGCGGACCTCTGGATGTCGTAGACAGAATTCCCAGAGAACCAATGAGGTATAGAGCACAACGAGAGCGACAAAGACGGTCAGGATAAGACCCGGGACAAGTCCAAGTACACTGTACGACCACGGGAAGCTCATGATGGCCTAATTAGTGTCAGTTCAGGTTCCATTGGCCCAAGATCACCGCTCATGTTTTCATCCACTTTAGACATTCTAATAGGCAGGAAGACGGGCATAAGCCATGCGACGAGATGCAACTAAGTAAGCTCACCAGACAGATGTACTCGGAAAAGAGCAGCGCGGCAGTCTGTAGCAACAAGATTAGCACATTGTCACGGCCTTTCGTCGAGGGAAGGATCACAAACCTTCTGCCAGCTGCAGGTGCGGTACTGAATGGCATGACCATCCTCGAGGGCCTTTTGCTTGTGCAAGATGGCACTGCTGCTGTCGTCGGTATCTGAAGAGTCGCCAATTGAAATACTGCTCAGGACAGGACCTATGCGAGGACCAATTGCGACATCAGAGCCGCCAAACCAGCCGGCGCGACCACGGGGGATGGCAGCTTCGGTGTCCCGGTTGATGGGCTTCTTTTCCTGAGTGAAGGTCTCGTTTGGTGGGGTGTATTGGTCTGACATGGTCGCGGTCGAGACGATACAAGTCGATAGGCAGGTGGTGGGGGAGGTTAATGGCAACGAGGTGGAGATAAGCACATGAAAACAAATGGCTACCACTTCGAGCTGCAATTGAGCACGGGTTATCGATACTGCAAATAACAATGATCAGGCGCGACGGGAGCTCGGGGCAAGTATCGGAGCCAGATCGTCGAGAGTGCGGTAGACAAAGCGAACCGCAGAATATGAAATGTGGGAGGGAGAGAGGGGAGACAGAGAGAAGGTAGAGTTGAAGAAGGATGCGGGAAGCTTAAAGGTATATTTGAATTCGACCAGGAATGGGACACCCGCCTGGTACCAAGGCTCTGGGAAGGGAAAGTGCGGTTGCAGTGGAGGGATTAAAGTGAAGAGACTGACTGAGAGTGTACCTACCTACCCAGGAACAACCGAATCGATGAGTGCAGGTGAGACCCTGGCAAATGAAAGCAACAAGACAAGCAATACTACAGCTGCTCGTGTGCCTTGTCGTAGTCTAGATCTTCCTGCCGATAGAGACGTGGCCCAGCTGCTGTACAAGGCAAAGCAATAGTACATGGCATCGCATCCTGCAACTTACGATATCTACTGTACATCTTGCCTGACTTCATCATGCAATACCAAACTATACCATACCATTGAGATGGTGAGGAAGCGAGAGATCGAAGCTATGACGAAAGGATTGCGGCGCGTTCGTGCTGGTTCCCTGCTAACTGATGCAAAGTACTTTCTGTCGCTGGAGCAATGTCTCCATGGCGTGGGACAGCCCTGGACGGTACTATCGCCTAGTCTGCACTCTACAAGTCATGGGCAGCATGGGCATCTTCTTACCTGGTCCGGCGGGGCCCACCGTACTGTATAGCAGGCGGGTAACTGGCGTCACCGGCAGAGGCATTCCCGCGACTCGCACTGGAGCTAGAAGAACCTGCAAATGCGTCCGGTCCCCCAGGGACGGCATATCACCCCACAGGGACACGGGCAAGGCGGGCTTCGGGGCTGATATAGCCTGGAGCACGCCATAGCTAGGCCTGCTCGTTCTTGACTCTTGCTGTCGCCCATCTCCACGCCCAGTAGATCCAGAAGTGGTGAGCTCAGACAGGCATCCTGGACGGCGCAAGAGTTACCTGGAGCTAATGGAAACAGGCTGCGATCAGCTACGGCGTAGTCATCGAGGGAAATGGAGTGTGACCCCCCACACAGGAACGTCCGGAGGCGTTCTAGCGGCGACTTGCCAGCCAAGATAGGCCAAGCCGATCAAGCTTTGCGGCAACGGCGTGTGCTAGTACACGAATCGTCTTGGAAAATGCTTGTGGCGGTCCTAAGCTTCGGGGGGATCTGGCGTGGCTGGCCAATCGTCTGTGTCCGAATGCATGTGTTGTATGCAAGCAGACCCCCAAGAAAGATCCATCCTGCATAACAATCGACACAACTTTCCAGAGCTTCCTGCTGAGAGAGTTGTTGCGGTATCGTTGAGAAGCTCTGCGCCCGGGTTTCCACACCTCCACAACCATCACACAACACCCTGGTTGACGTCAAATACTGCAGAGTAGCCTCTCGGCGGGCGTCAGCAATGGCCCACAGACCAGGACTGCGCTGAAGGTCATCGGCAGTCCCGAGCATCAGCTGCATACCATGCTACAGTAGGACCTGGGCAGGGCCTAGGTTCAGAATCCTAATGCCTGCCGCGTAACTTACAGCACCCATACAAGGGACTTTGGTCCTGAATCTGCTGTCACTTCTGTGACACCTGCAGCGTCCGATTGTCGCGAAGACGTCTTTTGGTGGCTGAATTGCGCAATTGAAACAGAGCATTCCATGACAAAGAGTCTGTCTTTTCCATGAATATCACTTACTTAATGCTCATACGAGAAGCATCAGGCAACGTAGTATCTTCCAATTTGCCAAGATCAAACTCCAGGGAAAAAGAAAATTTCATCTGGCGTAGACGCGGGCGAGACTCGTTGTCGTCGTCGCCATCGTGGAGCGTCTTCGACGATAACTCGGCCAAATAGACTCTTCTCCAACATGCGTCCAGGCCTTGATGGTTGGCACGCCTTAGATGCTAGCGAGGAGGATCGATCGAGTTGACTGCCTGGAAACCTAAAAGAGGTCGTGCCATCAGAGCGCGCAGATCCGGTTGTCGAGAGACCGCGACCCATCAGCTAACAAAGCTTCTAGCGATGGACCGACCCTCTGATCATCAGCTCGAGAATAGGCCCTGGCCGGCCAAGATGAGGGCTGCGCCAAGCTCAACAAATGAATTCGGATGTAGATGATTGCATGACGTTATATGGAAGGTCAAGAGCCGCCGAGGTCGTGAGTGTTCAGAGTTTCTGGCAGCCGCCATCAGAGTTGTGCCCTGAGCCGCCAGAAGCTCTGAAACTCCACGAGGCCGCCCCGAGAATAGCAGCGGACGAGTGTGGCGGTGCAAGCCACACATAGCCCCGCGCTGTGGCTTGTCACGACCTCTGTGCCTGCCCAGTCGGCGTCAAAGCCTCCCGTCCCGCCGTCACCCAGCACCGAGGACCAGCCCCTCCAATTACCTCGAGTGCCCAGCTATTCACTGTCGAGTCGTCACAGCCAGTCATTCCCAGATGCAGATTCGCTGGCAACCCACAGATCCAAGTCTGGGGATGGCTGGGTGACTCCAGGCAGAGAGGCCTTCACAACTGCAACCACTTACTCACTCTGGTCTCCTCTCGTCGACCCCTATGACGAGGTCGCCCCAGACATCTCTGCTGGCATGATAGTGTTATAAGGTGGTCGGTCTGCGTCGTCGCTCTCGCTCTCTTGCTTTGGAGCTGCCCTCGATCCAAAACCACTCCTACGATGCCGTTTATCGCGAACACTCCAGAATCTCTGATCGGTCGGTCAGACTCCAAGAATCCAGCGACGACATGTCGAGGCATCACCTCCAACGGGCGGCCGTGCAGACGACCAATTGCCGGTGCCGACTCACCACCGCGAAGCAGGTTTGGCAAACTACGTGTTGACGACCCGCGAGATGAGAGGCTATACTGCTGGCAGCACAAGGAGCAAGCGAGCATGTCCGCCCGGTCGAGTCCCGGCCCCCGCACTTCGACGACCCCGATTCTTGAGGAGCGGACGAGCCTCGATACGCTGGCGGATCGGCTGGGCTTGTTGGAGATGTCTCAGACTCAATCAGAGAAGCCACCGAAACAAAGCAATCGCCCAAGCATTGGCCAGGGGTATGTCAGTGCAGGAAGCGGCCAGCCGTTGAAGATGACTCGGCCAAAGCCCAAAGCCGAGGTTTCGTTCTGCTGCTTCCGCATCCCTCTCGAAGAAGAGTCTCCTCCAGCAAGACCGAGGCCCCGCCCCGTGCAGGCTCCCGTCTCGGCACCGGCGAAGCCAGGCAAGAAGCCGTCGAGCCAACATCTGGCTCCCGTCGCCTCTAGACCTCGTCCAAGCATATCTGCACAGTCCGGCGGCCGGAGCTCGCATCATTCGTCGGCGCATTCAACATCATCCCAGACATCGCACTACCTGTCGTTGATCCCGCCGCACGCATCTCCACAGACAGCATCGCTCCTCATGACAGAGCTTGCAAAGCCGATCTCGAAGCTCGACGAACCGGGATACATCTACATGTTCTGGTTGACCCCCGAGTCCCAGACTGCCAGCCCGCCGACCGACGCCGCCCGGTCATTGCTTGCTCCGCCCACACCAAATCGCCCCGCCGGGCAACGACGACCAAGCGACGTCTTGGCATCCTTTGCTGCAGCTACGAATAATGCGACAAACGCCCGAGGGCTGAGGTCTGGCAGCAAGAAGAACACCATTTTATTGAAGATTGGCCGTGCAACAAACGTGCAGCGGAGGCTGAACGAATGGACACGACAGTGCGGGTACGACGTGTCTCTGATCAGGTACTACCCATACATATCCTCCAGCAATCCGGGTCCGGTGTCTGTGCCGCGGAAGATGCCTCACAGCCACAAGGTCGAACGGCTGATTCACATCGAGCTAGCTGGTCTAGGTCTGCGCGTCGCTGATCGAGAGCGCTGTGATGCCTGCGGGCGGGAGCATCGCGAGTGGTTTGAGGTTGACGCATCGAGAAGTGGTGTGATGCGGGTTGATGAGGCGGTTCGAAGATGGGTTGACTGGGATGAAGGAATGTTACCATGATAGACACGACGGATACATGATAATGAAATGGGAGTATGATAGAGAGACCAACAAGGTATGGCATCGCGTATGGCGTTTGGGACAATTGCTTTTTAGAAGATCGTGGGTATTCATTCTAGCATTATAACGCAACAACTACTTATCAAATACAAAATAAATGCCAATGACTGATTGTTATCAGCGTCAGATCCCTCAGCACTTAAATGTCTGGTCACTTCAAGTCATCCTTAACATAATCTCGTTACTCAAGTACAATGTCGACTGTCTCGTAACGATCGTCCGTCAAGGTCTCACCATCCATTACGCCATGTAGGAAACAGTCTCCAATCAATTCGTAAGACCCCTTGCCCGTTGGACGTACAACGTAAGGCACCTCAGCCCCCAGAATGACACAAAACAAATCGCCCGCGACTGCCTCTCTCCGAACCATCCCCATTCGACCGTCGTGTGTGACACAAAATCGTCGACCAGCGGACATGCTCAGCAACGGGTGCTCAATGAGGCAGCCATATGTCAGCATTGCCTCACGGACCTCCTCCGTAAGCTTGAAATCAGGTGTAAAGAATCCGATGAGGTATTCCATGTATATGTCGAAGTTGGCGATAACCTCCTCCGGGAGCGCATCTCTCATCCCGGTCATGCCACACATCATCGTGATTGCGAAATCTCGCTTCTGTTCTGGTGACCAGTTATCCCAGTCGCCTTTGGAGGCAAGCTTTCTGCTTTCCAAGAGCCAGTTCCGGATCCACATCTTGATCCTGGAAGGAAGGCCCTGTTTTGGTGCGATGTCCTCCTCCGATGGTATGGGTATATCGTTGAAACAGGTGGCCATGAGCATGATTTTATCAACGATCCGTCCCTTGAGGTTCAGCGAGCGCCCGTCATTTGTGATGGTGATTGGCGATGCATTAGATCCTCCTGCGTTAAACAGCTGATCCCGAATTGTGTACGATACGAGATGATTGATGGACCCCTGAGCAGAGAGATCGGGGATCCACGATGGAAGATCGAGCCTTTCCAAGGGGCCACTGAAGGGCGGCATGGCATTATGCGGAGCAAGAGCCAGCATCTTCAGGTTCTGATCAACCGCCAAAACTCTATTAGCAAGCTCCTTGTACACATCCGTCACGGGCAAGCTGTAGTTAGGCTCCAGTCCACTGCTGGTCAGAGGCAGACTGAGCAGCGCATAGACATGGTCTCTCAAATTCGAGCATTGGAAGCCCGCTGTGGCATATAAGCTGTCAATCATGTTTGCCTTCGGCCGGTAATGCTTGACCATCATAATCATCATCGCATTGGATAACATCCGCATCGGTCTTCCCCCCATTGCAAAGAACGAGGCCATATGAGGCGCTCGGGCATTGACTGCTCAGAGTGAGTCTAGTTACCATATCCAGGAGCAGTAGGTATTATACTTACTGACAGATTGTCCGGATATTGACAAAAGAAGACCATATGACATTATCCTGTAAGCAATGCTGGCAAGATCGTTCCATAATATCTCGATATCTCCACAGATCATGATTTTGGGAACATCATCCTTACCCACAACAACTTCCTGTATGATCCACTTGCGATCAAACCACGGTCGGAGAAGAAGGTTGTTGATTGGTACCCAGTTGTGGTCATTGAAGTTGGGTTTCTCTTCTTTCCGCAGTTTCTGGTCATAATCAGCAATTCGCGGCTCAACAATACGGAGCGATGCCGACTCACAGACGCCTCTCTGAAAATCCTTTGCGATGTCTCTTGTATAACCGCAGCGTCGTGGCTTTCTGGTGGGAGTAAATTAAGCGCCATCCCGATCGATTCTTCGAGTCCCTCCAAGCCTGTTGTATCGTCTCCAAGCCAGATAAGGACTCGCTTCGGTCGAGCATAAATCTGGCTCATCAACATGACCTGTTCATTCTTCTCGGCCGGGTTCTGCTGGTCGATGCACACAGCATCGGCCCATAATACTCTCGGTCCATCTTGCACACGTAGTCGCTTCAGCGCGGTGAAGAGACTGTTTGTCACTTGCAGAGGTAGTCCATCGCAGTACACAGTTACCGTATCATTTGCGTCTCCCCAGCAATATGATATTGCTTCATAATCAAGCGTATCACTTAGATTAACGGCTTCGAGCGTGAAACGAATATCCTCATTGCCAGAATGGAGGTGCAAGAGTCGTATCTGCCCAGGCCTTAGTGGCTCATATCCGAATGTTGCAGCCATGGAACCATAACGATACGTATCGACGGATGCGGATGGAAATTTTGTTTGTGCTGAGATGGAAGGTCTCCCTCAACATTGGGAGGGAGGCTCAGTAATAGTTTGCCGAAGCTCGTTCAGCTGGGCTTGGCAAGTCTGATAAGGCCTGTTATTTATGAAGCTGAATACGCTATCGATTGCTAGCTCGCTTCGTGACAATTCCAACTATGGAGAGCTCGATTGGGGCTAAAGTGGTATCGAGCTGGACGACTAGCGTGCTGCAAGTCAACAAACGAAACATGGCAGCTAGATCTATAATCACAGCGAAAGATCTATCAAGCTAGTCACAACAAGTACAACAGAATCGATTCGTTCAATTCATGGACGAAGACGGATTAAGGTTGTGATTCCCAACCGAAGCTTCATCCTGTTTGACGATGCCTACACATGTCAACGTGCAGTAATCATGTCTCAGTTTTTGATCATGCACGAGTCTTACCCCCAAGATGTAGATTCAAGTTGTTATGAAGACTTGAAGATAAATGCTTGCACATGAACGTGAACAAAACAAACCAGGTAGATATACACTGAGATATACTCGAGACACCACTACGGCCTGTATATCTCTGACAGATATGCACTTGCCAAACGTAGATTTAGGTTATAGAATTAGATTTTTCAGGTTGTGAAGGCAGATCTTTCCCTCAATCATTGTCCCTGAAGCTAGGATATGTTGCTAGCTGGTCGTTCCATGAACTATCATTCCCGATATCCTGTTGTAATTGCGCAGAGATCGTCGGCAAAGCACCGACCTTCATTCCTACTTTGAAGACGGACGAGTCCAAGTCTCTCGTTGATGACGGGCCTAAGCCCATATCTCCAAGACCAGAGTCTTGGGACCATCTTTGCCCTTGGGGTATGCATCCAGCGCTTTGTGAAGGGTGACTTGCTGGCTCTAAATATGGCTCCCTTTGAATATGCCACGGCACGTCAAGGGATGGTTGCGAATGATGGACTTGTTGAACTGGGACGGGATTCTGTTGACTGAAATTATACATGTTGCCAGGACCAAATTGCTCATGTTCATGCGATGCTTCAAAGTGAACTTGCGGATGTATAGGGAAGGTGAACGCCTCTGCGTCCCGCTGCGAATGGACCTCCCTTGTCGCTAATCGTGGTTGGATGTGTCTTGGAGGTCGGTGAGTAGGATTGGACGGTAGCCCTAATGGCTGAGTATCGTGCTCTTGGGTCAATACCTGACCGGAGCCAACTGGATTGTTAAAGGAGGTTATAGAGCTCCTCGAAGAGTGGTCAGGCAAATTGTAATTATGGTCTGTTATCTCAATCTCCAGTTTCTCGAAAGAGCTCCTGAGAGCTTCGCTGATTGAGTAATGTAACCGGTGACTGGTCTGTTGCACCGCTGCGTCCCAGTCCAAACAAAAAGCGTTCTGGAATAAGCAGTTAACCTCTGCTTTGATCAAGCCTTGTAAATTATCTAGCTGCTCATCGAGAAAACTCTGTACTTCATGCATCTCTACTACTGTTGGAGGGATGTGTTCTATTAGTTCAATCAGTTTGACTATCGGTCGCTTTGTTTCGTCACAGGTCTCACCTGAAGAAGGGATTCTTTCACCATCTTGAGGAAACATGGTAAGCCACAAGCTTTCCCACGTGTTGATCTTTCCATCTGCTTTTCTTATGTTTAATACCTCATAAACCTCATCGGTGATGCCATCCTCGGGATTGTCTGGAGGTGGCTCATGCTGTGGTGTGCGAGGTTCACATGCTTGCCGAAGCTGCAAGTGTTCACGAATTGCCACATCGGAAACAAACCTTTCTTGGCAGCGAGGGCAGGGATACCGTGGCTGTAATGACTGGGGCCGATTCTTCTGTGATACACTCGAACGTGTTTCCTAGAAGACTTTAGTGTGAGAATAGTATGAATAGCAAGGACAGGAAGCTCACTTGACTGCAGAGATGTGGGGATGGCTGACTTCGGCACACTTTGGATGCGCTCTTATGTTGAATCTCCCCTTGTTGCGTTTTCGAAACGGGCAACTCAGTCTAAGCCTCGCATTCAAATCAAGTCCCAGTCTCTGATCTTGTAGGCCACCTTGATCGCCGGCCTCTCCTGTGTCATCTCCCTCACTATCACCGTTATCGGTGCCATTATTCTTTCTACCCGCACCGGACCGGCGTTTTCCCGAATCTTGCTTTTGTTGATTATTGGATAGTGATCTACCATCCCAAGAGCCAAAATTAGACACATTACCAGAACCAGCGGTCTGGAAGGACGGGATTTGAAAGCTTCCCCCATGGGGAGATTGTTCATCATTGTCGAGTTCTTGAGATACATCTTCCACGCATTGCTTGACTCTATCCCATACCACAAAGGGGTCAGACAAATCCTCGAGTTCATTGCCGAACTGAGTTCTGAACAAAAAATCTAACACATTTTCGGTTATTTGATGTATGTTTGGTCGCTCAATAGGCTCGCTCATTCTATTATTATCGCAGCTTAGTAGTAGTATGGACGAGTCGACCTGTTGAGAACTAGGAGATTGAGGCCCCTCTTTCTCCATAGGAGGCTTATTTATGTCTCGTGTATCATTTTGCGTCCTATCTTGAAGTCCCACATACGAGGATACAAATTCGGGCTTAGGTATGAAGTGAGCGGTGAAAGCTTGCCCAACAGCATCACTATGCAAGCTGACTGGTGAGCGGTATGTGTAGTTTTCCATTGGGCTGTTGCAACCCGATGGCAAGTGCGAATCGGGCAACGGGCTATGAAAGCCATCATATCCTGTGTGCCTAGGTGTCGTTTTATCTGTCGAAGATGAGTTCCGAATGTCGTGGCCAGCTGTGCGAGCTAGCAACCTGCGGTCATCTGTAAGGCGCAAGTGAACTAGGCTCGATTTTGCCGAGAAAGTTGTGGCCCGGTCATTATGAGAAGCCATGTTTTACAGCTCAGAGCCTGCACACAGACCATAAAAGTACAATGAAACTGGAAAACACAAAACGAGGTAACGCTAGATAGAATGAATGGGCCTTGTGGTTTAGAGTTCGCTGCTCTTCGAAAAGTCGATCATTCATATCGCGAATGAGGCTCAAACGGAGGCAACCAGCCCGCCAAAGGAGCTCCGGGAGGCAATTCGAGAGCCTTTTCGCAAGGGCAGCAGTTGAGGGAGGGGTATGCAGACCAACAGATACGCAGGGATGACGCGAAACTGTGGCTGCATGGACGTAATGCTGTCATTGGTTGGACTTGCTAGATTCAATCTCAACAGCCATATGCGTTTCCCGAAAGTTGCCCTGAGCATTTGCCTTTGTCGTGCATTGATCTGAGCTAGTACTGCTTCAACCTGAGTGTAGGTTGAGCCGGCATCCGTCTCAGGTACAGATCAGGAGCCTAGTTTTTGGTCACCCCGGCTAAAGTTGCCGTCTATCAAAGATAGAGCTACTTATGTAAGTGTTAATTTTTAGGTTATGCTTGTCGCTCCTATGTGAAAGAAGCTTGTGGTTTCGATCTATCCACTATCTGTAAGATATATGTGTTATAACATCTACAACAGGTCTTAGATTTCCATCATTGGTAACTATAGTACTTAATTGCAAAAAGGGCAAATATTGTAATAAGAAAGCTGTGCAGAGTTGTTGCGGTGGGAAAACGGTGGTAAATTTTCGCACAAGATGCATTATTAGTGTCGTAAACTGCATGGCTCAATCTCGGGCACCTCATCGCAGTTTGGGAGCGGTTTGCGCGTCGCCTTCCCCTCAAACATATTCCAGTTGCCCCGAAATGGCGTTGATTGTGATGAATTCAACACACAATCGCACATCGCACAAAGCATACATAGATATTCATTTTGGTGAGGCGGTGGCGAGTGAACTCTACACTTTCCATAGACTCAAGCAGTCGTCTGCCTTTATAGATGCCAGGATAAAATGGTTCGTTTACCACAGAAAGCTTGGCCAGTCTTCTCTTCGTGAGTGCTACTTCTGTTTTCACAAATTCTATAGTTCTTTAGATATGAGCCTTTTGAATCAAGTCGCATAGCTTAC